CGCGCGCACAGCAAAACGTACGTTTTTAGTAAAATAACCTATTGTTTCCTTATATTTTTTACTGTGAATTGTCGTGTAAGGATATTTTTATGGAACTAAAGAAAAAAAAAAAGAAATTGCCTCGATTTAAGTGAAAATATTGGTAGTGTTCCTAGGAAAGCCGGTGGTTCCTTATAAGGCCAATCAAAAATTTGACGGTTGGCCTTGCTAGGGAACATGGGCCTTACATCTATAAACCATGAACATATGAACACTTAATATGTAGTTATAAATACGTACCGTTAAACTTAAAACAATGTTTTATATTTATAATTTTTTTGAAGGGTTTTCTAACTTTTAAACTCAGATTGAATAGACATTTTTTTTTAAATTATTTTATTTTCAGTATATATTTAAATTTATTTTATGTCTATGAAGAGGTTATGTCTGGAAATAAACTAAACTAATTTACATGAAAAGCAACGAATATAAAAATATTTGCTTGTTAAAAGCGGTAAAGTAAGTATGAGATAAGTTAAAAATTGTATATCTAAGATAGTCTGTCTAAAACTATAATTAAAGCAAAAAAAAATTATATCAATAAGTTGGTAATTGAACAGATGATTAAAATTTATACGTATTATTTCAGATTTCAAGAATGTCACAGTCAAATCCTAGAAAAAGAGGTAGTACATGTTTAAGATTTTAAACATTCCTGACTACAAGACTGACTATGTGCCATGATAAGTTTGTAATAATTACAGTACGTCTGTAGTGTCTGTTATTTGATTATAATTAATATAAAAAAGTCATATATTGTTAGTTTGGCCTTCTTAGGAACATTGTGGCCTTACAAAGAACAGAGCCTTAAGAAGGCCATATAAGGTAAAAAAAAAAGTTTTTAATTTGATTATAAAACGCGTTGGCAAGTTATTTTATATCAATATAATATTTATTACTACTAGTTTTAAATAATTTCCATTAATATATTCTTAGTTATACGATGGTGTTCAAGTAATGTTCATTGTGTTTTTTTATAGATAAAAAAATATATTGGGCATTTAATGTTTCGCTTAAATGAAAGAGCTTATTATGTAGTTTTAGTAAAAGCGGATATATTAATTGTTACAACTCTATTTTTAAGTTGAACGACTGAATTATAATATTGGCCTTGTTTGGAGCCCTGTTCCTTGCAAGGCCATTTGGAAGAGCTTAATAAAACTTAAGTTTAATAGATAGTTATTAAAGCTAGGTAAAAAAAAAGTGATTTCTATGGTACACAATAAACCAAAGTATGCCTTAACAATTTGTTTCCTTCATTTATGCAGTAAATTTACGAATAAAAAGTGTTTATTCTTTAGAGTGGCCTTCCATGGTCCACCCACCTTAGACGGATTTTCAAAATTCTTTATTTTTCGAAAGGGGTTTATTCCGAAATGGTCCCATTTAAATTTCATATAGTTATCATCTGGTGATGAGTTTCGGAGACAGACAACGGAACTCTTCAAAAACTTATATCAAATCAACCGCGATTGCTACTAGGTTTTAGTGCTCTTTGTTAGTATTACTATAACTTTTTTTTCAAAGGGATTTTCTTGTTATGCGCCTTTTTGTTGAGCGCTGAAATTGGTTTCCAATTGTAAAAATTCTTTCACCAATTTGATAATGTGAACCACTTTCAATTTAATATTATAGTTCATATAATGAAATCGCCCTTAGGGTACTTCCTGCTTGTAAAACCTATCGAATCAACATTTTAAAACTTTCATTTAAAATCATTTTCTAAGACGACAATATATGTCGAAAGTTATATTTCAGCCAGTCCACTCTTTATTACAGGCTTTTAAATTATAAGAATAATGTTAAATGAATTTCACAAATTAAATAGGCACGTCGCTTACAAGATGACGTAGATATTTATCTAATTAAATTAATGTTCCAGTAAAACAACAAAATAAGGTGCCCAATTACCATAAATACCTGTCTTGGTAGAATTTAATTTATTACGGGGAAGAGACACAAACTCCATAGAACTATAGACAATTAAAAATGTACAATTATATGCAAGAAAAGGTGATTTTAGAATTGTGCTAAATACGTAGTGTTTTTGAGCAAAGTTTGAGATAGCTTTGATGTCACTAATTACATAGTTACTTATATTAATCGTTATCTTTTAGCACTATATTATAAACCTTCAACCCGAATACTACTTCTGATTTCAGATCACATTATTATCAAACAGTATCTCACTTTACCAAGGACTAAATTATTTTAATTTAGTAAATTACTGTAGGGCCTGTTGGCATAATAACCTGTACAAACTGAACAGTGAGCTCAGATCCTTGGTGCAAGCCTACAGAGACACTGAATTGATTAGTGTTTCCCGTGACCGACCTTACATGAGTGCCAATCTCTAATACTCGTAACACGAATCTACATACTTAACAGGAACTCTTTCGTCTTTCAAAGCCCACCACAAAATCTCTCGGGTATCCTATCATATGCCTTCTTGAGGTCCACAAACACCATATTATGCAAGTTTTCTCACATAGTATTATTGCAAATATGACATCTTTTGTCCCGCGTCCTGACATGACTTATCTCTTATTCTTCTCTGAATCACTTTCTCTCAGACTATACATTTTATTTATAAATATTTCATAATTTCATACTTAAATAGTTTGTGACATGAGGTTTAATCCTCGATAACTGTTGCATTCCTGAACTTCCCCCCTTTTTTAAAAAAATCCGTATTAATTGGGTTTGACGCCATCTCTTTGGGACTACCTATTCATGCAACAACATATTGAGGCATAGAGTTAGCCACTCATATTCGTCTTCGATCAATAACATACAAACTTCCACTGGTATACCGTGCGAGTCATCTGCTTTTCCATTTTTCGTTCTTCGTACTGCCAATCTAACTTCACTTATACTAATCTCAAATCTCAACTAACTTATTTTTATGAGAAAGTATTCAATCTGTGTCGTGTGGCTACCACTTTTCTACTTGATTTATTTATTTACAACATTTGAATTCACTCTAACAACATACATACAACAACACAGAACATTTATTTTTTTATTTGATTAGCTGATATAAATACAAATCAAGTTCAGTCAAGGGTCATAAATGTAGTAGCACCGTAAAGTTCATATTCGCACGCCGGTTCGATGCCTACCTCTGTATGTGTGATGTTTCAATGCACACACAAATTTATAAATTTTCTTCGTATTGAACTTCCAGTTTCCAGTCATAGCTTTCAAATAGGTGCTACCACCTATTTGAAAGCGATGATAAAATTTAACACAGTAGTCATTAGAACCAGTGGCATAATAGTATGACTAGCTTACTTCCACTGTTTGTCTGATGGCGAGTGCCTTATTACTTTTTTAACTTTTTGTTTAAATGTCAGGATATATTAGGGTTCCGTACCTATACGGTTTAGATTAGGGGATCGTACTGGCCATGGCATAACCTTAATATTCGAATATTAACGAAACCATTTACTAATAATACCAGCACCGTGTATCGCACAGTTATCTTGTATAAAATAAATAACATGTAGCTCACGCCACACTAGGCAGCTTTATGTCGTTCTAAACCTCGACAGCTGAAGTCTAGTTTGTTTGGAAACATTTGTTTCACAATCTTTTGATAAAAATAAAATGAAAATAAAATAAATATCTTGTACTTTTTTTTTTAAAGAATTGGGGTGTAGTGTAGTAATACATATGTAATACGTATGTCTATCTTAAGATAAAAGTAGTGATCACTATTGTATTTACTGGAGAATAAATCTGATCGTTGATCTAACAACATCTTTAATTTCTCTCTCGACACCCAACCTTACACAACCATTAAGTGTCGCTGAGACTAGAGGAGGCCAAAATCTCCTTTCTAAGAAGAGTCCTATAATCAACAGTGGACTTTTATAGGCTGTTGATGAAAATCGTGATCATAAGACTGTTTAACAAGTGCCGACTGGTTAATAAACTGTTCACAGCTTTTTTGTAACAAATTATAATTCTTATTAGACGTTTTGACCCAATACTTCATCACCATCATCAACAGCCTTTAATAGTCCACTGCTGGACATTAGAAAGAAGGTTTTGGCCTACTAAATCACGCTGGCCAGACGGGTTGGTATAGGGTTTGTGTCAAGTTTTCCTTCTCTCTGCAGTGCTGTTGTTCTGCGTAGTTTTTTCCCTTAGTCGGCTCTTATTACGAATTAGTGATTATAAAATAAAATCATGGTGGATGATTCTGGTGGTGGTGTCCATCAAAATCTAAATCAAAATAACTTACACTTAAGTTGGTTTCATACGATAAATCTAAAAATGCTGGCAGATAAGGGTAACTTCTTAAGCATAAAGGTTCTAAGACTGGGTGTCCATTACCATGATATCCACCAGTTATTATCAGGATCTACATGACTTCATCAGTATTGTCATTGTATTTGTGCAGAAGATTTAGGCTGAGTCTTCAAGCTTTGAATAGCAATTAAAGGTATCTATACAATTTTTAAACCTAAGCTGAAACAATTTTCGTACTATCGTAATTAAGGTATTAACCGGGCAATTACTTGATAATGCAGTCTAAACAAAAACTCGCTTTTCATGAAAATCGATTACAAATTCTTTCCATTTTTATTTAGATAACACCTTGTCTTTTCCTAACCGTCTTCCCAGACCCGATGCGTTGTTCATAACAATATGCTGCGGGGTCATATAGTGTGCTTGTAATTGATATGATTGGGGCTAAGAAACTAATGCAATCCTTATCACGTACATTCTCTTAGACATCCACAATGGAGCAGAAATGGATATAAAAAAAGTAGTAAAATTTGTCTGGTGATGACAAAGGCTTTTGTCTGGTAAACTGATTATTGGTAAACCTAACATGGGCTATTTTTAATAAATATTTAATATTATTTCATAGTCGTTTGAGAACAAAAGCATATAATTTGAATTAAATTATATTTTTTTAATAACAATTAAACTAAAACAATAACACATATTTATACAGTTGCATTCTCAGATTTGCCCACTTCTACTGCGGCAGGCATTACAGGTGCGCCTGTAATAAAAAATTAAAACATAAATGATTATAAATGCAGTAAGCAATCAAAATAATTCTGCCACCAAACAAATTACTCTGATTGCGTATTAAACCACCGATTGGCGTGATTCCAATAATGCGTAATAAACCTTGCTGCGCCAGCAATATGTCACGTTCACTCAAGTGCTGGGTTTAAGTGAAGCACTGAGTTATGTTAATTGGCTTTTTAAACAGTAAATGGCATGATAATTATTCGTCATTTCATCATTTTCACCAAATTGAATCGATTATTAATAGATTCGAGGTGAGTTAAGGTAAATGTGGTTAATTTGAACTGTTTCAAGTTTTTATTTTTATACACCAATCAGTGATGTGTTAAAGAGTATGATTTCTTTTAATATTCTACGACAAAGATGATTATAAAATAACTTTACATCACCTCTATACCACTGTTACTAATATTCATAAAACTATTACTAATATATATGTATGTAATTACGTTTTATCAGATCTTAACTTTTTAATCGCCTGGGTATCTTAAGTCATTGTATCTAGGCAGCACGATGACGGGACCCGTGTAGATTTTTGTATACGAATGTTAAACAAATATTAATATTTTCTTTTGAATTTCAGAGAAATAAATATAACCAATAAATAATAATATCTATCTAAATAAAATTCCGGGACAACAGCATATAAACATACACTAATACCCAACGAGGGGCAGGAGGTCACCTACAAGCCGTAGATGGCCTGGGGTGCGTCTCGGTACCAGGAATTTCCTTTCTAGAGTACACCTGGTTCCCCGGTTACTAGTTGCCGAGACGGCATGCGATTTTTAGTCGATTCGAGTCCGATATAACCACCCCACAGCGTATTCCGTAGGTGACTTCCGAGGAAATTTACGCACAGAAAGAAAAAGGCTCTGGTACCCACAGGAAGATTTAACTTGTGTTATGGGTACCAGTTTTACTTTCATGAGTATGAGTGTGTGAATTTAGTGTATAAGTGTGTGTTGTGGATGGGTTTATGTTAAGATTTTAAATTATATAATTAGGTTTTATTAGGTATTTTTTAAGTTTGTAATAACATGTTTTTTTGCTTCATGGACTCCAGTTCATTTATCGAAAGATAAAAATACTTACTAATAAGGTGAGTCCTCAATTCTCCACTGTCACAATAAATTGAGTCCGTCAACACACCTTTTAGCTGTTCTTTGACCGAAGGTCTTGCATTACAAAATATTATTTTAGAGTGTGGTCGCCAGTCTGATTCTAGCATCTTTAAACTCTGTAAGTAAAAAAGTATATAACTAGTCCAACACTCACACCGAAATATCTAAATTAATAGAGAACCTGCTCTGGTTTGTTCGTAAGCTCCAATTACGCTTAAAAAAACTTTCTGTACATGAGACCTTGTTTCTATCCAGTGATACCGGAGTACCATTTTGTAAGGAATCGATGTCACTAAAGAGAATAAAGACGGAGAACTAGAGCGAGAATGAAATAGAACGAGAGAGGGCTAGTATTCTAAAACCACGCAAAAGAGTATAGCGATGACGGAGTAACATATACCATTCAGTGTTGTGATCCTGACGATGACGGGGGTTGCTACATAATAATACAATTTCTAATGCGGTTTATCCATTGGATAAATGAAATAATTGTTAATAGATCAGTTAAATAAAATCGATGTAGTAAATAGGCTGTTTAAAGTAAAGTTTATTTACGAAATTTATTATATAATGCAATATGTGCTATCTGATGTAAAAAAATATTCACAGATTCGTTATTTGTTATTTCTCCAATTTAAAGTTAAACTCTCTGTTTTTAATAGGTCTTTGGTTACTCAATTTAAACGCACTGTAAGGTTTTAACTAATATTGCGGTGTTGTGCACGCATCAACGTGGCATGTGCTTTGACGTTGCGGCTTGCGGTCTATGGAATATTAAATGGATGTTCATTTATGTATTCCTTGTTTCCTATTTTATACTAAAATATATTATGATTTCGTAAAGCTTTTCGTAGTTTTTTTAATCCCTCATAACTTGGGTTTTGATTATACTAGATAAATAAAATGCTCGGAATATGATGCCAATAGTAAACTTATTAAATATATAAGTTTCAATAGCATAACTCCAACTTTAGATTTTACTGATATCTAAAAAAAAAAAACGATTTCGTCACTGACTCACTGATGATCATCAAAATTCATAGGGTACTGAAAGGGTCCTGAAGTCCTAAAAAGCTGAAATTAGGTTTGTAAGATAGTATTAGTATACAAACAACAAAGAAAATATAAAACTTAGAACTTTTCCCCCCTAACCCTTTAAACTAGGGGGTGGAACGACTGATGAGACTAAAAATTGATATAATAGGGACATTTTGTTATAAATAATAAATGCAATACATATTTCAGAATTTTTAGTGAATCGCTCCCCATCATTTAAATTAGCGAATGTGGAATTAATCGCGCCCAAAAAACCTAATGTGTACCCGCCCGGCACGTGCATGCCGTCCGAACAGAAATTATTGTTGCCGCTTAAGTCCGTCATCGACATTTGTAAGCGTTCAACACGAACAGACACATGTCATCGTCTTATAAGTGGACGTCTCGATTCGATATTTGACGCGATTTCATAATTAATTATCCTGAAAAAAATTATAGGTACTTATTTAAAACGTAATGATGCAAAATTAATGAGGTATAAATATTTATAATAAAATAAAACATATGTACATAAACGTATAATTTTACAAAAAGTAAACCGATGAACGAGGGTGGTGCATTCGGAATGCAGTCAGCAGTGTACGTACTCTCCTGTCATTGGCATCTAATTGGGTCTGAGGCCATCTGTTCGATTCTGATGTGATGTATTCATTTGGTATACCCAAAAGGAATACATCAGAACCGGCATGACCCATTGCAGGCTCACATATTGTTCCCCCCTGATAAAAGACTTTTAAGTACTTTTTTCAAGGGGGGAAATAAAACCGTTTTAGATTCTGGTATTCCCTAGGACTGTAATATACCCAGATACTTGTAGGTTTCAGTGGCAGAGAAAGAGATTTGAGTTTTGTTTAATTTGAAAGCTCTATTCCATCAGATTCTTTATTACGCCCTTCTATACATACATGACTGCACACGTGTCTACACCAAATTCCAGAATTGCTAGTTTTTCGTCACCTTTAGTAACGCTGTCAATTGTAATTTCGTGGGGGCCAGTAGTTTCAAATCATCCATACAAAGAAAGTGAGATATAACTTTATCATCTTTCTGTAACCTACAGCCTAACCGTGAACCATATAATGCTTACAAAGCAAGCGACGGTGCTTACAACGGAATGGACACTACTTCGAAAAACAATAAAAATATTATATATCATTCATTCATTTGCTTTTCTTAGGACTTTCAGTGTGACCCCCAGTAGCCGTAAGCAACTTCCAAAAAGAAGTGAAATCCCACGAAAAACATTTTTGCGTAAAATGTTGCCCGGACGAGACTCTATGGCTCGCACTGTCAAAAAGTTTTCAGATCATACACAGGCGAAGCCAACCGGGTCGCTAGTAAAAAATAAATTCAAGATGACCGCTACCACAGAATGGCGGATTTCATATATGTTTCAATAGTCAATGGTCAATGGAAATCAAGTGTAAGAGTTTTAGATTAGAAGTTTAGATAGTCTATATATCAAAACCGAAATGTAATCTACATCTAATCAAAACAAAAAACTTCGTCGACATAAAATCCGGATTCGAGGATGGACCTCCCACCCAAATCAAGATTTCGTTTTGTGTCGAGGACTGTTGCTCTCTCTATCGCTCTTTGGATGACTTTGAGCCCTTATGAGGCCCATTGTGTATGTCCACGTCTCTATGATGTAAGTCATCACTGACACCACCCGATACCGATAGTTGGAATTTAGCTAATATAATATATTATAATTTTAAAGGGATTTGTAAATGGCGCTATCGACTACATTACTGAAATTCTTTGGTCTTAGTTATGTCAAACATAAAATGTACAAAAAAGATGTATGAATAAACGTAGACGCAGACCCAATGAGACAGAGATAGGCTGACAGCAATTAAAATATTAAGCATGAGAAATATTAAGAGCTGAAGTATAAACTAAAAGTTTAAAAATAAAATAGGTAAAAACGTTATAAGTTAAACGGGGCATGAAATTTTTGTTAACAGTCAACCACTCATATCACGTAATCTCTATTTACACTCAGGTTATGCTGCGCCCCACGATTTTACTTTTGCATCTGGACAAAGCCGTAGATTGATGAGGAGAGTGGTATGAAGATTGGTGTGTAGTCCAATCATTATACCTAGTTTATTAGTTAACTGGATAGGCCAGGTAGAGTGACGATTTGCGCAAGAAGTCTGGTAGGAGCTGGATGCTAGAAGCCCAATATTGATCTAAGTGGCGTGCAATGGGAGAGGCCTATGTCCAGCAGTTGACTGTGATAGGCTGATGATGATTATACCTAGTTATTTTTCCGCTTTAGTAACATTCTCCAACTTTTCAACTCAACGTTTTTTACCTGTTTTTAGGTAAATCGAGTGCAACGTGCGCCCGCATCCCCAAAGTGATGATCCCCCGATCCACGCAAAACGACGGAAAACTAAAGATTACATTTTATTTGTGTCACTTGCCCTTCTTTAACCTTGTATTAATTTGATACACCATATTCTATTTGTCATCATCCGTTCATCGTTTTGCAGGAAGACGACGGGGTAATGGGGGACTTCGGAGCAAACTGATATTGCTGTTGACTTGCGAATAAAAATTTAGGAAAATAGTTTCAGGACTGGAGGGAGCGCCAAAATTACAGAACATGTGTTCAGTTTTTTTGTAGATAATTTAAACATCTCTGTTGTTTTTTTAAAGACATCTCCCGCCCTAGAAATATATCGGGGGACTTTACATGACATACATGAAACGAACACAAAAAACACCTAGACTCAGAATAACAATTTATGGATCACACAGTGTGAAAATGTGTTGTCCCGTGTTGGGATCGAACGCACAACACTCAGAGCAGTGGAAAGCGGCGAGCTCACTGCTTAAACCACTACGTCATCTGTGTAGTCAAATAATGAAACATACCTGTAAAAATGTATAATCCAATCTGTACAAATTTTCACAATACACAACAAGCAACTTAGCAGGTTTTGTTTTAGAGGTTGCACCATCGCTGCTGGGTACCTCATGTTCCTCAGGAAATTGTAAATTGAGTATCTTAGTGCGAACTCTTTCAGCACCAGCGAAACTAAGGCGGCCGACGGGATGGATCGCGTAGTGGGGAGGTAGAATGCCATCCTTTGTACAAAAAATGTAAGTAATCATTAGCCGTTCGTTGGTCCAACAAAAATAATTTTACATTATTATCATTAAATATTTGGAATACAGGTAATTGCTGATTGCTTAAAATTGTAGCCAATTTATAAATGAGTAAATGAAAACGGTCAGTGCTAGATTCTGTTCGTTTCCTAAGTCAATCGAAAGTTCTTGAGTAGGAAATTGGCCCTAAGAGGAATTAAACCTAGAATTTTTCACCCATAATACATTTTGATACGAATATACAGCATGAATTAGCCTCATATAAAATGATCTCACAGTAACGTGCTTAATATCCAATGGCGGTCTTGAATTGTAGTATAGAAGCAAAAGCACATCAAAGCCTACGCCACATAGCAAACCGATTTCAACGCCTAGACCGAGACTGCAGAAGAAACAGCCTACTAGCGGAATTAAATCTATTCCTGAAACAAAAGAAGAAATACGTTAAAAAATAAAAATTTAAAATAATTATTCAGTAAATGCTAACATTCAATTAAAGGCACTTTCTCAAATATGTTAAATATTTATAGGTAACCCATTAAATAAGTTTTTGTGTGTGTGTGTTTCAAATATTCATTTAACTGGGCTCAACTCGCTAACAATTTTATGTGATAACATATAGAAAACTTTATTTCACTTATGGTACATTTTCTTATAAATCATGTACACAATAGATAAATAAAAGTAAATAAACCATACAGCTTGTAAAAGCCGTTATAAATAATTAATTATTTACATTATGTTAAATGTGTATTATATAATAATAAACTACAATTAAATAAACCGACAAAGAGATATGTCAAGTAGCATCCAGCTTAGTACCCCGAGTAGAGCGTTTTTAAATAAGATTTAAATTACTTAAGAATAGAATGGAAAAAGAAAACGTAGAACAAGAATAAAGAATTACAGTAAAAAATATGAATGTTGGTGATTTGGCAAAAGACTTTGTTTTCGCAAGGCAATCAATTGGTGTCTAAATTCTAAGGAACGTGTGACGTGACTCAATAAAAGAAAAATAAATGACACATACAAGATACAAATAACGGGAAGGAAGGAAGGTCTTAAAAGGGCAGGGAAGGTGACGATATAAAGTCATTTTTTTTAACCGGGAGTAAAATAGTAATCGAAAAAAGTTCCATTCAGACTGCATTTTTTTTTTTAATCTTTATATATTTATCTTTAATTATGTAGTTTTTAGTTTTGAAAATACACATATATAAAAATAAATAAAAAATTCGATGAGGAACGGCAATATCAAGAATCATTGCTCACAAGATCAGGCTTATTGGCAACAATAGACCTATCTGTGATAACAGGTCGATCCCAATACCACGTGGTATGGCACCTCTAAACTCACAAGTTGATATATAAGGGCAGGCCGTTGGTGTATGATCCTGGCTACTTGGTTGTGCCTGTGAAAATATTTACCGTTAGCGAGACGAGAACAACCAGAAATAATAAGCCTGATTGATTCCCCAGGACGGTGGCATGCCCGACAGATGTCAACCGTACCATCTTTCAGAATATATTGCCGTTATTCATCGTGATAACTTCGTCCATAAGCACACAAACAAAACCTATATATACATTCCGCGACCCCAAAACTTATGCGGGATAGGTCTCATTACACTCGTTCATCGGTAATGACAATCTCATTACCGATGAACGAGGGTGGATTTGGCGTACGTTTGGCGTGGCATTTGGCGTACTCTCCTATCATGGGCATCTAATTTGGCCTGAGTCCATCTAAGTATACCAAATTAATACATCAGAACCGGCATGACCCATTGCAAGCTCACACCTTGTTTATACTCCTTGATAAAAGACTTAGACTTAACGAAGTACTTTTTCGGGTGGCCAAAGAACCGTTCCTGCCATAGATATAGAATAACATAGATTGGTTGTGCATTTCAATAAGCGAGACCAATGGTGTGCATCAAATTTGCATGTGTGTCTAACGTGCTAGTGAAGCGCCATGCAAAATTACTTTTTTCGATAACCTGTACCAACTGGTATAAATAAATCCACAGGGATTCAGAGTTACGTATTTAGTGCGAATAAGTACAAGAAAACTACAAAATTAAAAAGACAAATCTTTATTGATATAATTTTTAGTGTATACACAAAAACAATAAACTGCTTAAATGTTTAATGTATTAATTAAGTGATAATAATATTACGCAATACCTATTGCTCGTTGTTTTAGAAACATGAATGAATTAACCACAAACAATATTTAATCAAAAACAGTACTGTAAGCATGTATAGGAATTCATTTTCCTCCGAACAATATTAATTTCTTATAGAAATGTCTCAAACTTTCTTTGGTTGCATTACACAACTTTGCCTCATATTTAATTCTAATAGACACATATATTTCTATAATCAGTTTAATTATCTGGTCTGTTCACCATTTTTAACCATTTTCCTCGAATGTCTGCATTTTGTGGAAATCTGTAACCATATGAAATTAACATAATTAAAATGCCAAATAGTCAGTATAGAATGGTTTTAATAAAATTAATTGATGATTATTATTTGATCACTGTGACTATTATCGATATTTTTATCGACATTGTCACTTCAAACTTCTAGGTATATGAGCTTAGAATCAACATAAATTCACGTATTTAATAATTCTTTTTGTATGATGCGAAAGCATCTTAATTTATAATGAAACTAAACGAGATAATATGCCCTACCGCTTGATATATAAAATATACGATATCGCATTGAAACAAAGCTTATTTAGAGGCAAATATGGCATTATTTACTTACATGTGAAATGAAAGATTTTGTGGATTTTCTTTCTTGGAAGCGTTACATCCAGATACTGCACACGTCACCATGGTAAAACACGCTTAATAAATAATAAACCACAACAAAATACTCAAGATTCCGAAAAAATAACAACAATAATGTTTCGACCTCGACGGGCGCTAGGACGATACAGGCTCCATAGCGTATCGGTGTTCGATCTCGTTTATCTGTCGCGCTCTAACACATGTAAACTCGTATTGTCTCTTTTCCCGCATAGCCAATCTATTAGTATTCTATATCTATGGTTCCTGCAACGTTTGTTTCATGTCAGATTCTGGTATTACTAAGAACTATAATATACCAAGATACTTGTAGGTTTCAGTGGCAGAGAGACAAAATTTGAGTTTTATTGAATTTGAAAGCTCTGTTCCATCAGATTATATTATCACGCACTTCTTTACATACATGACTGCACACTTGTCTACACCAAATTCCATCTAGATAGAATTACTAAAGTTTTCCGTAACCTTTAGCAATACTGCCAGTAATTTCAAATCATCCATATAAAGAAGGTGAGATATAACTTTGTCATCTTTCTGTAACCTATAGCCTAACCCTGAAGCATCTAATAAAGTGCTGAAAGGGTTCAAAGCCAGACAAAACTACAAGGGACTCAGACCATCACCTTGAAATATATACCGCTCGATCTTTATTATTACACCGTTTACCGTGTTCTGCCGACATCCTGGATAGCGAAGTGCTGTTCTCCCTTGCCCCAGACATAATTCCAAAAAATAGCACTGGTTGTGTCAATTTTATACAACTCCAGCACCTTCAAAAGCCATGTATGTGGAACCGAGTCATAAGCCTTCTTATAGTCTATCCAATATGTCGCCAGACTCTTACGATTACCACATGTCTGTTAGCTAATGGTCATGTCTATGATAAGGAGCTCTTTGTGCCACGGGTCACCTTTCTGCATCCTTGCTGAGAAACGAACATAATCGAATTAATGTGTAAAGTAATTTTGAGTCTCAGAATAGATGTTAGAAGTTTATACATAGTTGGTAAGCATGTTATAGGTATAAAGTTTATGGATCCCATGACACTCCCAGATTTATAGAGCAAGTGGGTTATCAGTGGTAAAAAATGGGGGTAATGAACCCGAATCCAGTGCTGCCTGAACTTCAGATGCCAAACACGCATGTGAACTTCGGAACCACTTAAGCTAAAAGTTGTGAAGTCCGTCTGGACCAGGTGATTTTCAATTCAGTGATAAACAGACTTAGCATAGCTTACTTCATCTTTGTCAATGGTAATAGGTTCCACAGGTGATATAGACTCACATGAGCGTCTGACATCTCTCAACCAATTACCTTCAACATGGCAGAGTAACAGGCACCGACCAGATATTACGCCAGAATGTATTTGTGGCATTTTTATCTGGCAAATGCCCATCACTCACAAATCGATCCGATTCCTCCCGTTTCCGGTACACCCACTTCTCATTTTTTTGGAAGATTCGATTCTAATTATACCGATCTATTAGTTTTTTTATATAGTCTTATCCTATTTGCCCATGCATAAATTTTCTGTTTTAGAAAGTTTATGCGCTCTGTGACACATGACATGTTCTGTTGAGGACTAATGGTAGTCCTCAAGAACGTTTGTTTCACAAAGGACATCACACGCGCCCGCGTATTCCCTCATTGAAAGCTAATTAGCTTACCGATGAGTGTCCTGGTATCAGCAATACATTTTCAGCTTTATTAACACCTACTCGGCAAACTGCAATAGCCGTACAGTATAGAATAAAATGTGTATCAGATCTTCGTTATTATCTAAACAATTATATAACAAATCCAGGGCACTCACCAGCGTTAAATTTTGTTTATGAATGGACAAACGGAATAACCGGGGCTATTATTGCAATTTACATACCGGTATTCCGGAATCGCATCCTCCAAAGCGCTTCTTATCCTATCATTGTATTAGGTAGAGAGTAGTGTGGCGAGAAAAACTCATTGCTTGAAGTCGAGCTTAACGCCTCAGCATCTGCCGGAACTTCTGTTGTGACTTCCAGGGGCGGCAAGACCAGGGATATTAGAAGTGCTCTAGAGCTCTTGTTATTATTATTGAGTGAAATTTCTTAAATAAAAATGTTTTTCTTGTGTCTTGACATGACATTAGACGTCATGTCTTACTATAGATATTCTTGGCTTAGTGTATTTATTTTAAACGTTTTAAACGTGTTATTATTATTAAATATATTTATGTACAAAACAAACTGTACTAAAAAACTTATTAGTAAAGTTATCAAACTTTTCAATAACTCTTATAGCCCAAAATATAATAACTTGGAAGTAAATTTCCTCCAAACAACAACAATTTTATTTTGTATGAATATAAACTGGGGTGAATTTAAAATTACTGACTCACACAAATTACTCTGGTAGCAATGATTACTTAGGACAATAAGAATAAAATATCCCTGATAACAATTTAATCAAATTTTCTATTAGCACTAACAGGCTTACGGTAATTTAGTTGTAAAAGACGGTCCGGTAAGGTAATTTAGTTTTCATTTCAAGAATGCTACAATAAAATGAATTCACGGTCGAAGAAATGCAACTAAACTGAACTTATTTTTCTTTCACAATTC